AAATAAAGGGTATTCAAATAGGAAAGGTGGAATCCAAACTGTCTCTATTTGCAGACGACATGATAGTATACCTAGAAGACCCCATCGCCTCAGCCCAAAATCTCCTGAAACTGATAAGCAACTTCAGCAAAGTCTCAGGATATAAAATCAATGTGCAAAAATCACAAGCATTCCTCTATACCAATAACAGACTTAAAGAAAGCCAAATCAAGAATGAACTGCCATTCACAATTGCTACAAAAAGAATAAAATACCTTGGAATACAACTCACAAGGAACGTAAGGGACCTCTTCAAGGAGAACTATAAACCACTGCTCAACGAAATCAGAGAGGACACAAACAGATGGAGAAACATTCCATGTTCATGGTTAGGAAGAATTAATATCGTGAAAATGGCTATACTGCCCAAAGTAATTTACAGAATCAATGCTATCCCCATCAAGCTACCATTGACTTTCTTCACAGAACTGGAAAAAACCACCATGAACTTCATATGGAACCAAAAGAGAGCCTGCATAGCCAAGTCAATTCTAAGCAAAAAGAACACAGTGGGGGGCATCACACTACTGAATTTCAAACTATACTACAAGGCTACAGTAATCAAAACAGCATGGTACTGGTACCAAAACAGAGATATAGACCAGTGGAACAAAACAGAGGCACTGGAGGCAACACAACATATCTACAACTATACAATCTTTGATAAACCTGACAAAAGCAATGGGGAAAGGATTCCCTGTTCAACAAATGGTGTTGGGAAAACTGGCTAGCCATGTGCAGAAAGCAGAAACTGGACCCCTTCCTGACACCTTACACTAAAATTAACTCCAGATGGATTAAAGACTTAAACATAAGACCTGGCACCATAAAAACCCTAGAAGGAAATCTAGGCAAAACTATCCAGGACATAGGAGTAGGCAAGGACTTCATGAACAAAACACCAAAAGCATTGGCAACAAAAGCCAAAATAGACAAATGGGACCTAATGAAACTCCACAGCTTCTGCATGCAAAAGAAACAGTCACTAGATTGAATCGGCAACCAACAGAATGGGAAAAAATTTTTGCAGTTTACCCATCTGACAAAGGGCTGATATCCAGAATTTACAAAGAACTCAAACAGATTTACAGGAAAAAAACAAACAAGCCCATTCAAAAGTGGGCAAAGGATATGAACAGACACTTTACAAAAGAAGACATATATGAGGCCAACAGTCATATGAAAAAATGCTCATCGTCACTGGTCATCAGAGAGATGCAAATCAAAACCACATTGAGATACCATCTCACGCCAGTTAGAATGGCGATCATTAAAAAATCTGGAGACAACAGATGCTGGAGAGGATGTGGAGAAAAAGGAACACTTTTACACTGTTGGTGGGAGTGTAAATTAGTTCAACCATTGTGGAAGACAGTGTGGCCATTCCTCAAGGCCTTAGAAATAGAAATTCCATTTGACCCAGCAATCCCATTACTGGGTATATATCCAAAGGACTATAAATCGTTCTACTATAAGGACACATGTGCACGAATGTTCATTGCAGCACTGTTTACAATAGCAAAAACCTGGAATCAACCCAAATGCCCATTGATAATAGACTGGATTGGAAAAATGTGGCACATATACACCATGGAATATTATGCAGCAATCAGAAATGATGAGTTTGTGTCGTTTGTAGGGACATGGATGAATCTGGAGAACATCATTCTCAGCAAACTGACACAAGAACAGAAAATGAAACACCGCATATTCTCACTCATAGGCGGGTGATGAAAAATGAGAACACATGGACACAGGGAGGAGAGTACTAAACACTGGGGTCTATTGGGAAAAGGGGAGGGCCAGTGGGAGGGGGAGGTGGGGAGGGATAGCCTGGGGAGATATGCCAAATGTGGGTGAAGGGGAGAAAGGAAGCAAAACACACTGCCATGTGTGTACCTACGCAACTGTCTTGCATGTTCTGCTCATGTACCCCAAAACCTAAAATGCAATAAAAATTTTAAAAAAAATGCCAGCAAATTCTGACCTCAGGCAGTGGGTCTCCACAGTTCAGCACCTGGGACTGGTCATGGTCTGTGATCCTCATTCGAATAAGGATAGTCTAAGGACTACGTCTATTGTGAGCTAGGTACTCGCAGTGCCTAGAGTAGTGCTTGGAATCTCGTGGACACTCATAAATACTTTAATGAATAAATGAAAGAGCAAGCAGACAGGAAGAAGCACAATGAGAGGAAGATCATCTTTTCAAGGAGAGGCACGTAATTCGCTCTTGGTCCCTTGAGTCTTAAGTGCCCACAGGGCATCTAGGTGAGAAAGGTCAATGGACAGAAACATGTCTGGGGTTGTCAGATGGTACCTCCCGAAGAAACATAGAACAATTCTTTGAGCAAGACATTTTGTTTGAATAACATTAGACATATGATGTTCTGTGATAAAAATTTTTTGGATTCTGCACAAAAGACATAGCTTTTTACACTGAAGGAAAAAATGTGATTTGCAGAGGAAAGAATAAAATGAAGGAAAACAAAACACAAGAATCCAGAGCATTAAAAACAAAAGTTTAAGCCACACTAAACCAGTATCACTTGGCAAAGACTGAACCCAAAATGATGAACCTCAAAGGTTAGATCTTTGCGAATGATTTTCAGACTATAACGTAGTGAACATCTGAAAATTAGGATTTAGTAAGATTTTGGATGAACCATTCCATATCTCTCTTAGTTCGTTTTGTGCTGCTGTAACAGAATATAACCAACTAGGTAATTTATAATAGATAGAAACTTACTGGCTCACAGTTTTAGAAGCTGAAAGGTGTAAGACTGAGGGGCCAGCACCAGGTGAGGGCCAACTTGCTGCACTATAACCTGGCAGAAGGCATCACATGGGAGAGAGAGAGTGTGCAAAGAGGTCATTCCTTTAATAAGGAATCTACTCTTGTGATAATAACATTAATCCATTCTATGAGCATTAATCCAGTAATCCATTTATGACCATAGCCTTCATGGTCTAGCCAGCTTGTGGTGTTATGGCATACATATATTTATATGCCATATATATATTTTATGTTATGGCATATATATATATTGTTATGGCACACATATATATATTATATTGTGGCATATATATATTATGTTATGGCATATATATATTATGTTATGGCATATATATATATTTTTTCTTCCATGGTTCCTGGCTCATAACTGCTAACATCCTTGGGTCTCTGAAGTACTGTCTTCTGTGTGTCTTTGTCAGGTAGGTTCAGGGTGGGGCTGGTCACCAGAAAGACCAAGGTAGGATTAGATAGTTGAGACCTTCAGCCCCAACCCCCAACCTCCAGAACGGGAGAGGGCTGAAGGTCAAGTTGATCACTATAGCGGATGCTTTAATCAATCATTCCTATGTAATGAGGCCTCCGTAGGAACCCAAAAGGACAGAGTTTTGAGAGCTTACTGACAGCTTAACACATGGAGGTTCCTGGAGGGTGGACCATCCAGGGAGGGCACTCAGGGAAAGGAGGCTCTGCCCCTCTTCCCGCATAGCTCCCATGATGCATCTCTTCATCTGTATCCTTTGTAACACCCTTTATAATAAACTGGTAAACATTGGTGTTTCCCTGAGTTCTGTCTGCCACTCCCACAAATTAATCAAACTCAAAGAGGGAGTTGAGGGAACCCCGACTTGAAGCCGGTCAGTCAGAAGTTCTGGAGGCCCAGGCATGTGACTGATGTGTTGGGAGAGCCAGTCTTGGGGACTGAGTCCTTAACCTGTGGGATCTGATGCCATCTCCAGGTAGGTACTGTCAGAGTTGAATTGGAGAAGAACCAACCGGTATCTGCTGCTTGGTATATGTGGGAAAATCCCCCACACCTTTGATCACAGCAGCCTCTTCCCTTTTGATGACTGCCGTTGTGGTGTGAGAGCACTGGTTAAGAGACTTTTCTGACACACACCTCTTAAATGTCCCCCCCCCAATATTGGAGTAAGGGAGGTTAAATTTCCAACACATGAACTCTGGGGGACACACTCAAACAATGCACCATTCATATACACCCATGTACAGTCAGAGAGTGGGTTTCACACTGGACATGCGTACTTATAGTCTCCAAATGTTTCTACTCTTTGATCCAGAAATACTACTTCTAAGGCTGTTTCTTAACAAAATAATTCAACTATGTGCACCACAGGAGTCATGAATATATTATGTGAGAAAGTGGAAAACTGGAAAATAACTATGAATGTTTAACACTTAGTGAAGAATTAAATAAACCAGGGTATATTCACACCATGGAATATTATGCAACCACCACCCATATGAATCTGACAAGTCAATAAAAACATAGAGAAAGTCCGTCAAATAATGCTGAATTTAAAAGCAGAATATACAACAATTATGGACACTCTGACTGCACCTATGTAAAAAACATTTGAGGAGAAAAAAACCTAAAAGGAAAGGCTCCCAAGTGGTAGCAATAAGGCAGCCAGATTATAAATTATTTTTTCTTTTAGAAGATTTGCTTTATTAATGATTATAAAAATAATTGCTAACACTTATGGGGAGCTCTCAAAACTAAGCACTTCATGTGTTCCTTTCTCTTAATAACAACCCTATCAGATAGATACTATTAATACTCTTATTTTACAAGTAAGAAAATTGAGGTTTAAAGAGACTGAGTAGCCAAAAGCACACACAGATTAGATGGTAGATCTGAGGCTAGTTCTTGATCTGGCTCCTATGAAAGTCCAGGCTTTTAATCACTACATTATACTTCTTTTTTTTTTTAATTAAAAGATGCATTGCTTTGAAAATAAGTCCATAATACAATCAAATGGAATTTCCTTTATGTTGAAAAAAGTACTGAGACCTTAACTGAATTTGCTCTAACTCTTTTAGAAATCAGTGTGGTGTGGGGTGGGAGAGAGAGAAGGAAGCCAGTGTAGGGATGGCAATCACATGGGACAGGCAGGGAGGGAGGAAAGACAGAGACCTCCAGGGCACCCACCTCTCCTGGGGCCTTGTTTGCATAATTCTTCTTGGCAGCCTCCTGGAGTTCCATGGCCTGCTGGATGTACATTTTCCCAGTGAGGATTTCATTTTCCAGCATCGACAGCTCTTTCAATGAAATGGGCCAATTCAACCGTTGTAAAGCCTGGTTTAAAACTGTTTTGTTTTCCAAGTACCGTATTGGTTTGTTTGCATCTAACCTAAAAAACAAACGAGCAAAAAAAGAGAGGAAGAAACAAAAAGCAAAGAAAATGACCATAGAAAAAACTATGGTAAGATGGTTTGTTAAGAAACTCTCCCCTGAGAAACATCTGTTGAAGCAAGTGTCAGGTGTCAGATGACAATGTCATAGCCATGCCCTCTGGTCCAACAGGACTTTGGTAGTTTGCAAAGGTTAAAAATAACCATCTCTGTGAATTATGATAGGCACTTTTCCCTATTACCTCATTAGGTTATCTGATTTTAAAAAAGCATGATACACACACATTTTCAGCATTTTTCCCTCCATATTTGGAGCCTAACATGTGGCAGAACCACGCATAAGCCTCAAAGAAATTTCACACAAGTATGCCTAGCAGTGACTCTGAAAAACAAAGCAAAGCAACCCAAATATTTTCCTCAGTGCAGTAATTCTTATACTAGCTCATTTTAGCTATTTTTACCTCCTCTCCTCTTTGCAGGCCTAAATAAGTCTAAACTATTTGGCTTTGCTGTTTTGGTACATAAAGAGCAGAAGCCAAACTTTCTATGGCCGATAAGAAGGTTGTGAGACTCCAGAGGAAGCTAGTGTGGTGTGATGGCCCGGGTCCTGGATTCTATTTCCAGTCTGAGCTGCTTCTGAGTCAGACGCTGCTGAAAGGGAAGGGGCAGGGAGAAAGAAAACAATTCACGATTTTCACTCTTATTTCTGAAAGCATCACTTATTTCTTTAGATGTTGGATATTGGAAGAGTACAGTCTAAATTCAGCAAAACCACAGGACTCAATCCACAGACAAACTCGTACCCAGAAGACAGCAAAACATTCTTATTGGAATGATGTCAGCAAGTTAGTAGAATAAAAACCCAGGACTTCATTCCCCTACAGAGACACTGACTTAACAATATATGAACCATATTGCCTTTGTGAGAATTCCAGAAACAAATTAAGAGTTTTCTTTGTACTTAGACAAGTACAAAACCAAGAAGAGCTGTATTAAGGAGAGTAAGAAAGTTTGCTGCATTTTGCCTGCCCTAACCCTTCCTCCTCCTCCCCAGGACAGTGTGATGCAATTGGAAGAAAACTCCCCAATCCTGGATTCTCTTTTGGAGAACAGAGTGGAAGCACATTCACAAATTTTGCGGGACTTCCCAAGAAACAGGTTTCTGTCTTGCCTGATTCAGAGTGGTGATGAAAACAGTGATATATTTTGCATGTCAGGTTGAGGCCTCTGAGAATAGAAATCAGTGCCACAGCTTGTTCTATCACTGGAGATACCGTAGTACTTCAGAGAGAAACCCAGGGGAGCAAGATATAAAGGCTCCTGAAAGAAACCGGCAAACCTTTTTCAAATGGAAAATTACACACACAAGCCCAGAGAAGACACATCTCCAGAAAAGGTTTCAGAGATTCCCCCAAATCTCTAGCTGGGAGAATTGGTGAAACCCTTCATCTTTAAGAAGCCAGTTTGTAAAAACAGGATGAGATAGCTGTTTTTTCAAATGCCCTAATATCAACTAAATATCATAAGGCATACAAAATACAGGAAAAAGCACACAAAGATATGGGGAAATGTCCTAATTAAAGGAACAAAATAAATCTTTAGAAATTGATCCTAAAGAAATGAATATATACTGATTATCTGAAAAATAATTCAAAACAACCATGTTAATGATGCTCAATGAGCTAAAAGATAACAGAAACAACTAATAGAATTCAGAAAAGTGATGCATGAACAAAACGAGAATATCAACAAAGAGATAGAAACTATAAAAAAGAACCAAATAGAAATCCTAGAGCTGAAGAATACAATAACTGGATTGAAATATTCAGTAGAGGGGCTCAACAGCAGACTTGATCAAGCAGAAGAAAGAATCAGTGAACTTAAAGAATAGATTTTAAGTCATTAAGTTGTTATAAGAATGAAGAGTAACATATAATGGTAAAAGAGCCAATCCACTAAGAGGATATAACAATTATGAATATATGTGCACCTAGCATCAGAGCTCTCAAATACATAAAACAAACTTTGACAGAATTAAAGAAATAGAAAGCAACCCAGTATTATCAGGAGACTTCAAGCTCCACTTTCAATAATGGACAGAACAACTACACAGAAGATCAATAATGTAACAGATGACTTGAAAAACACAGATCAATTGGACCTAACCAACATATAGAGAACACTCCACCACCAACAGCAGAATACACATTCTTCCCAGGTACACACAGAATATTCTCCAGAATAGACTGAATATTAGGCCACAAAACAAATATTTTAAAAAAGAAAGCAAAGTATTTTTTCTGTACAAAATGAAATGAAGCTAGAAATAATAACAAAAGGAAAACTGGATAATCCAGTTATTAAATCATATACTCTTAACCAATATGTCAAAGAAGAAATCACAAGGGAAATTAGAAGCTATCTTGAAACAAATGAAGGGAAAAAACACAACATATCAAAATGTATGAGTTGACGTGAAAGCAGTACTAAGAAGGGAGTTTTAGTGCAAAACACATTTTAAAAGGAGGAAAGTCCCAAATTTAACTTTACTTTTCAAGGAACTAGAAAGACAATAACTGAAAGTCCAAGGTAGCAGAGGAAAGAAAATAATAAAGATTAGAAATAGAGTACAGAAAAACAACAGAAAAAAAATCAATGAAAGCAAGATTGTTTTTTTTTTTTGAGACAACCAATACAATTGACAAATGCTTAGCTAGATTAACCAAGAAAAAAAGAGAAAAGACTCAAATAACTAAAATCAGAAATAAAGTGGAAACATTACAACTGATGACACAAAAATTAAAAGGATTATGAGACTACTATGAACAATATTACACCGACAAATTGCATAACCAAGAAGAAATGGATAATTTCCTAAAAACATACTGCCTACCACTAAGACTAAATCATGAATAAATTTTAAAAATCTGAACAGATTTATAACTAGCGAAGAGATCAAATCAATAATTAAAAGCCTCCTAACATATGAACGCCCAGTACCACATGGCTTAACTGAAGAATTCTGCCAAACAATGAAATTATTAATACCAATTCTCCTCAAACCTTTTCCAAAAGATTGAAGAGGGAGAAATACTCCTAACTCATTTTATGAGACTGGAATTATGCTGATGCCATAACCAGATTAAGATACTATAAATAAAAGAAACTACAGACCAATATTCTTGATGAACAGTGACATTAAAATCCTCAACAAAACAATAGCAACTGAATTAAACAGCACATTAAAAAGATAATCACCATGGAAAAATGGGCTTTATTCCTGGAATGCAAGGATGGTTCAACATATGAAAATTAAGGTAATATACCACATTAACAGAATGAAAAACAAAGCCCACATGATTATCTAAAGTGATACAGAAAAATCATTTGACAAAAGTCGACATCCTTTCATGATAAAAAAAAAAAACACTCAGCAAACTAGAAATAGAAAGAAACTACCTCAACATAAGGAAGCCTACAGCTAACATTGTGCTCAATAATGAAAGACTGGAAGCTTTTTCTCCAAGATCAGGAACAAGGCAAGAATGTCCACTCTTGCTCCTTTATTTAACATAGTACTGAAATCTTAGAGAAATTAGGCAAGAAAAAGAAATGAACAACATCCAAATTAGAAAAGAAGAAGTAAAATTATCTCTGCTGATACAGGACATGATTTTACATGTAGAAAACCCTAAAGATTCCACAAATACTGTTAGAACTAATAAATTCAGCAAACTTAAAGGACATAAAATCAACACACAATATCAGTTGCATTTCTATACACTAACAATGAACAATCAGATAAGGAATTAAGAGAATAATTCCATCTACAATAGCATCAAAAATAATAAATTATAAATAACTTTAAGGAGGTGAAAGATTAGTACACTGAAAACTAAAAAACATTGCTGAAAGAAATTAAACAAGACACAAATAAAAAGACATTTTGTGTTCATGGATTGAAAGACTTAATTGTTAAAATGTCCATACTACCCAAAGTGATGTACAATTCAATGCAATCCCCATCATGACCACAGTGATATTTTTTGTATAAATTTAAAAAATCCTAAAATGTATATGGAATTGCAACAGGTACTGAATAGCCAAAATGATCTTGAGAAATAAGAACAGATTTGGTGGCCTCATACCTCCTGATATCAAAAGATATTACAAAGCTACAATAATCAAAATAGTGTACTGACTTTAATGTAATCAAAGCAGTGGTACTGGCATAATGACAGACATATTGAATAATGGCACAAAATAAAGAGTCCATAAATAAGCTCTGATTATCATCTTGCCAAGTGATTTTTGACAAGGGTGCCAAGACTACACAATGGAAAAATGACAGTCTCTCCAAGAAGTGATTCTGGGAAAACTGGTTATCCATATGCAAAAGAATAAAGTTGAACTTTTCATTTAAAATAGATATAAAAATTAACTCAAATTGATTAAATATCCAAGCCTATAAATCTCCTAGAAGAAAACAGGGAAAGTTTCATTATACTGAATTCGACAAACTCTTTTGGATATGACACCAAAAGTGTAGGCAGCAAAAGCAAAAACAGACAAATGGGACTATGTTAAACCTAAAAACTTTTGTGCATCAAAGAAAATAGCTTCAAATCAACAGTGAAAGAACAACCTAAAAATGGGAGAAAGTACATGAAAATCATAAATCTGAGAATGGGTTAATGTCCAGAATACATAAAGAACTACAACTCAACAACAACAACAACAACACAATCCAATTTAAAAATGGGTGAAGGGTTTGACTTGACATTTCTCCAAAGAGATACACAAATATCCAGGAAGCATGTAAAAAAAACAGAGAAACACAAATCAAAACCACTATGAGATAACCTTCATATCCATTAGGATGGTCACTACAAAACTAAACAAAATAGGAAGTGTTGCCAAGGATGTGGAGAAGGATTCATGAAGCTCAGAAAACTTCAAGCAGGATAAACTCAAAGAGAGTCACACCAACACACATTTTAATCCAACTATTGAAGGGCAAATGGAGAATCTTGAAAGAAACAAGATAAAAGTGACCTGTCATAAATAAGGACTCCTCCATAAGATTAACAGTTGATTCCACAACACCAACTATGGAAGCCAGAAGGTAACAGGGTGATATATTTAATGTTCTGAAAAAAACGCTACTATCAGTCAAGAATTCTGTATCTGGTAACACTATTCTTCAAAAATGAAGATAAGATTAAGACATTCCCAGATAAATAAAAGGTAAGTGAGTTTGTTACTAGTAGACTTGTCATAAAAGGAATGCTATAAACAGCTCTTCATGTTGAGGTGAAAGGACACTAGGAGATAATTCTAAGCCACATGAAGAAACAAACAGGACTAGTAAAGATAACTACATAGGTAAATACAAACACTCGTATTCTTGTATGTTTGGTATGTAACTCCTTTTGTTGTTGTCTTTATTTTTTTAGAGACAAATGCATAAAATAATAATTATAAATAAGTGTTAATGGGCACACAATGGAAAAGATATAATTTGTGACAAAAGCAATATAAAGAGGGATGAAGCTGAATAGGAACAGTCAATGTTGCCTACTAAAACTATATCAACTCAACCAGGATTGCTATAAATTTAGGAGGTTAACTATAATCCCCATGGTAACCACTAAGAAAATAACTAAAAAGTATACAGAAAAGGAAATAAAGAGTGATCACAATGACACATTAGAACGAATCAAAACTAAAGGAAATATTGGAGAAATCGAGGAACAAAATTTTGACAGGCCAAACAAATAGCACAATGGCAGAAGTAAACTCATTATTGATAATCACTTTAAATGTCAATAAACTCACCACTTAAAACAGAAAAACTGGCCAAGAAGACAATAATGATCCAACTATATGCTCCTTAAAAAGAGATTCACTTTAGACCTAAAGACACAAATAGGTTAAAAAGGATAAAAAAGATATTCCATGGAAATAGTAACCAAAAAGAGTTGGAGTGGCTGTAATATTACCAGCAAAATAGATTTTGTTATAAACTGTTACAAGAGACAAAGGGTGACATTTTATATTGGTAAAAGTCTCAGGTCATCAAGCAGATATAAAAATTAGAAACATACATGCACAGTGAGCCCTAAAATGCATGAAGCAAATATTGTTAGAATCACAGGGAGGCACAGGTAGTTATGTGCCAGTGCATTGGTATCCAGGGAGAACTGGTTCTAGTACCCCCTATGGACACCAAAATTCACAGATGCTCAAGTCTCTTAAATAAAATGGCACCATATTTGCTTATAACCTACACACATCCTTCTATATACTTTAAATCATGTCTAGATTATTTATATCTAATACAATGTAAATGCTATGTAAATAGTTGTTGTACTATACTGGTTTTTACTTGTATTGTTTTTTATTGTTGCATTGTTATTTTTCTTTTTTTTCCCAAATATTTTTGATCCATGGTTGGTTGAATCATGGATGCAGATCCCACATATATGGAGGGCCAATTGTGTAAAAATAGTTGGAGACTTCAACACCTCACTTTAAATAATGGATAAAACATCTAGACAGAAAATGTAAAAGAAAATAGAGGACTAGAAAACACTATAAATGAACTAGACTCAATAAACATATCCAAAACACCCTACCTAGCAACATTAGAATATACATTAAGTGCACATGTAACATTTTTAGGGATAGACCACATGTTAGTCACAGCAATTCTCAAGATTTTAAAATGTCAAAATCACAAAGCATATTTTCTACCCACAATGGAATAAAGCTAGAACAATAATAAAGGGAAAAATGGAAAATACATAGAAATTAAATACCATATTCAAACAACCAATAGGCCAAAGAAGAATTTAGAAAACAATATGAGATAAATAAAAATGAAAACACAATGTACCCAAATTTATAGGTGCAGCAAAGCCAGTGCTCAGAGGAAATTTTATGACTGTAAATTCCTTCATTAAAAAGATAGCTCTCAAATCCACGACCTAAATTTACACTTTAAGGACCTAGAAAAACGAGGGAAAACTAAATCCACAGCCAGCAGAGGAAGAAAATAATAAAGAGCAGAGCACTTATAAACAAAATATAGAACAGAAAAGAGAATCAACAAAATTAAGACTTTGTCCTTTGACAATATCAACAAAATTGACAAATCATCAGCTAGACTGACTAAAAGGAGAAAATACATAATTACTTCTAACAGAAGTGAAAGCAGGCACAGTACTAATGAGCTTACAAAAATCAAGAGAATTCTAGAGAATACTATAAATAGTTCTATGCCAAAAATAGATAATCTAGATGAAATGCACAAATTCCTAGAAACAGATTACCAAAATGACTCAAGAAGAAATAGATAATCTCAACAGCCTATATGACAATTAAAGACTTTGAATAAGAAATCGAAAACCCCAATAAAGACAAGTTCAGAAGCAGATGCCTTCACTGGTGAATTCTACCAAACAAATGATTAACAACAATACTGCTCAAACTCTTCCAAAAAATGGGTGAGGGAATACTTAACAGTCAACAAGAATAAAATTACTCTTATACCAAGGCTAGACAGACATGTCAAAGAAAACTACAGACCATTTTCTTTATAAATATGAACATAAATATTCTTAATAAAATACTAGCAAATCAAATCCAACAGAATATTAAAAGGATTAACATCATGAGTAAGTAGAATTTATGCCAGAAATGCAAGAGTGGTTCAACCTAAGACAATCAAATGATTTAATATATCACATTAGTAGAGCAAAGGGAAAAAATTACCAACAGGTGATCATCTCAATAGATACAGAAAAATCACTTGACAAAATTTAACATACACTTTCCACTTCCCAATTTCAAAACTTAATACAAATCTACAGTAATTAAAACAGTGTAAACTTGCATAAAGACAGTCATATAGACCAATGGAATAGAAAGGAGAGTCCAGAAATAAACACAAACATTTATCATCAGATGATTTGTGACAAGGTTACCAAGACAGTTCAAAGGGAAAGCATAGTCTCTTAAACAAATAGTGCTGGATAAACTGGGTATTTATACGAAGAAGAATAAAGCTGGAACCCTACTTTACACCATATACAAAAATGGATCAAAAACATAAACATAAGAACTAAAACCATAAACATATTAAAAGAAAACAAAAGGATAAATGCTCATGACTTTGTATTTGGCAATGGATTCTTAGATTTGACAAAAATACAAACAACAAAAGAAAAAAAAAGATAAATTCACTTCCTACAACTTAAAAACCTTTGGACATCCAAGGACATTATGAAGAATATGAAAAGATAACTCACAGAATGGGAGAAAACACTGGCAAATCAGATATCAGATAATGACTTAATACTCTGAAGTCATACAACAAACTCAACAACAAAAACATAACCCAATTTGAAAATGGACAAAGAATTTGATTAAACGTTTCTCCAAAGAAGATATACAAATGGACAACGAGTACATGAAAAGATGTTTTTAACATCATTGGTCATTAAGAAAATGCATATCAAAACCACAATAGAATAGCTTTTCACACACACTGGGATGCCTTGAAAAAAAAGTAAAGAAAAATATCAAGTGTTCATGAGGAGGTAGAGCAATAAGAACCTACCACCTGATCCAGCAACCCCACTACTGGATATTTATCCAAAAATAGTAAATCAGTATATATCACAGGGACACCAGCACCCTCATGTTTATTGGCAGCAAGATATTGAATCAAACTGACTATAAATCAACAGATGGATAAAGAAAATGTGGTATATATATATATATATACATACATACATACATACAATGGAATACTATTCAGCCACAAAAGGAACAAAATCCTGTCATTTGCTGCAACATGGATGGAACTGGAGGTCATATGTTAAGTGAGGTAAGCCAGGCACAGAAAGACAAATAGCACATGTCCTCACTCATCTGTAGGAACTAAAAAAAAAAAAAAGTTGATCTTATGGAGGCAGAAAATAGAATCATAGTTACCAGGGGCAAGAAAGAGTGTGTGAGGTGGCAAGGGAGATGAAGAGAGGTTGGTTAATGAATACAGACATACAGTTACATAGAAGGAAAAAGTTCTAGCACTTGCTAACACAGTAGCGTGACCATAATTAACAAGAATTTATTGTATATTTCAAAATAGCTAGAAGAGACAACTTGAAATGTTCACAACACAAAGAGATAATAAATGTTTAAGGTAATAGCCTAAACACCCTGACTTAATCATTACACATGTATGCATGTATCAAAATATCACATGTACCCCAAAATATGTACAATTATCATGGGTCTATAAAAATATTTTCTAAAAATGGTGTAGCCACTGTGGAAAACAGTTTGGTGGTTCCTCAAAAAGTTAAGCATAGAATTTCCATATGACAAGTAAATCCACTGCTAGGTATACACCTAAGATAAATGAAAACATATGTCCACAAAGAAACTTCTACACAGATGCATATAGCAACATTGTTTCATGATAGCAAAAAAGCAGAAGCAACCCAAAGGCCGGTCAATGGAAGAATGGACAGACGAAACTGGCATATATCTACATATGTGGTACTGACACATGCTGCAGCTTGGGTGAACCTTGAAGACATGAAGTTTTTCCATTAGCTAAGTAAAAGCTGCCAGACACAAAAGGTCACATGCTGTATGATTCCATTCATATGACATATTCAGAGTAGCCAAAATCATAGAGACAGGAAGCAAACTGGTAGTAACCCAGAAAAGGGGAGATAGGAATGGGAGTGATTAATTTATGGGTGCAAGGTGTTTTTCTGGGGTGATGAAAAAGTTTTGAAACTAGAAAAAGATAGTGGTTTGCAGAACATTTTGAATATTTTAAATACCTCTGTATTGTATACTTTAAAACAGCTAATTTTTAGGTTATGTGAATTTCACCAAAAAAAAAAAGTGAGGAGGGAATGGCTTACTTTTCTTTTTCCTCTTGAGATAATGCTCGCCAAACAATTTTATTCAAGCGCCTGTTTAAAAAAAAAAATCAACAATTTAGTAGCAATACTTCATTTCATGGCAGAGGGTTGACCCCAAGGCACTGCAGTGGGAGCCCATCTAAGTGTCATCCCCTCTGAGCCATGCCCTGTCATATGCTTAAAGAGACTGGATGTGTCACCCCAGCATCACTGCAGCAGCCTCATGGCTTTGTGGCAATTGCATCAAACAATAAAGATGGGCTCAGTGCTTGTCAGGTAAAACCCAGACTGAGCAAAGGAGTTGACAAACTGCTCTTCATTATCTCTGTTTTAAGCGATTTGTAAACACCCACCATTTTTCTTCTTATGGAAAACATAACCGTGTTCTTTAGTTTGCTTTCTGTAGACACTTCTCTACCTGGATTCTCAGATCAAAGGAGATAGGATTGGGTCATAAATAATAGGATTGGGACACAGTATAGGGATCAAGCAGCCTGGCCGCCTTGTTTTCCAAATGAGGCTGCTGGGGATGGGCAGGCAGCTGGATGTGAAGCACCTTGCTCACCCACGGCTGCGGGCTGGCGGTACTCAGACTGACCATGTTTTCAGAGGGAAGCTGTCGACCCAAGAAAGAAGGTTGAAGTAAGTGGTTTCTACAGAGTGGCTATAGCTGTTCTTTTTTTTTTTTTTAGACTTTCTTTTTTTTTTTAATTTTTTATTGCATTTTAGGTTTTGGGGTACATGAGCAGAACATGCAAGACAGTTGCGTAGGTACACACATGGCAGTGTGTTTTGCTTTCTTTCTCCCCTTCACCCACATTTGGCATTTCTCCCCAGGCTATCCCTCCCCACCTCCCCCTCCCACTGGCCCTCCCCTAGCTGTTCTTTTGGCTACTAATCAGTGTTGCTTTTTCGGAGTTTCCAGCCCAGTTCTGTGTCAGGAGATCATTATCCTGAAGCAGACTTTCCGGCCTATAGAGCACGGAACACTGGCTGGCTCCAGAGGTTGTGAGCTGGTGTTCCATTAAAAGCACTGCATACATACAATGAGGTAGGAGAATGCTACTGCTCTTCAGGAGGCATTCTTCTAATCACTGGACCCAGCATCAGCAGGACAGGGCTCAGAGAACACATTTGGGATGGGCACATTCTCCTGCCCTGCCCTCCCATCATGAGCCTGGTGAGAACACAGAAAGGGGGTCTGCGGTGGTGAAGAGGGTAGATTCCAGAACCACAATGCAAGGCCCAAAGCTCAGTCAGCTTCTTCTCCTCGCTTTGAGACTTTGGGGCAGTGCCCAACTTTTCGGTAAAATGGGATAGTCATAGTACCTCTCCACTCCTAGAGTCACCACGAGGACTTGAGCTAGTGTGTACACAGCACATAAATTGTGTGTGATCCAGGTAAATGTGCTGTAAGTGACAGAAAAAGAGTCAGAAAGAGGGAAATAAACCAGTTCAGTGCTACTGTCTCACTTGAAATGTTTGGTTCTTTGGGGCCTATTTGGAAATTGGCTTTCTTGAATCATGTGATTCAGATAATAAGAATTAGGGTTTCCAAGACTTGTTGAAAGGATTATAGCATGCATTTTAGGTATCTTTTGTGCTTTTGTAAAAAGAAAAAACCATTCACAATCCCCTTAAATGTAAATGTTCAGAGTGGAGGCCATGTGGTGGGGAGGCTGGGAGTGTGGGTAAGGGCTTTGGCACAACGCGGCTCTGGGTTCAAACCTTGGTGTCCTCACTTTGTTGCTGTGTGATCCTGTGCTACATAGCTTCTGAAAACTGTTTTCTAATTGATAAGACAAAGCTAACACCACCGGCCCCTGGAATCCTTGAGAGTATTAAGTGAGATGGGTACATAAAGTGACCAGGAATAGCTTGATGTTTATTCCCTCCAGGTTCTGAAGAGCAAGGCTTAGAAATGCTGAGTAATCACTGGTAAATGTGGGTCCAGTTTGTTAGCACAGGTCTCTAATTTTAATTCGCTACTTTAGAAAATATTTTTCCAGGAGCATATTTTTATAACCTTTGTTATTCCCCTATTTTCCGTCTTCACTGAAATACTTCAATGACTGTACTGACTGGGGAGGCAACCGCAGGAAAGCCACTCAGCAAGTGGGATGAGGGAGTCCCTGTGGGATTTGTGCTCCTCACTGGACCTGAGGGCCTCTCTGCAGCTGGTCCAGACCATGATTCAGGGATTTTACTAACAACAGTTTCCCTCTTTGTTGTAGGAGAGTGCAATTTGGCTAAGGGATTGTATTCGCTAACTTTCTGTATCTCTAATTCTCAAATCTGCTTGTGCCAAGAGTTGACTCATTTGCAAAGCAACTTTTAACTAGTGACACTTCAGAAGGCTGAGGAGCAGCTGGCCCAGCAAATTGGAGACAGGAAAGAGAGGTTTCTAAGCATGGTACCAGAGCCAGGCTAGAACAGATGCCACTTCTGTGATCTGAGAGCTGTAACCTTGACCTTAGACTTTCAATGAAAGTAAGCAGCAGAAAAATCACTCCAGAGTCCAGCCAGCCCTGGCAATATTCACTCAAAGCTTATACTCAGACACACAAAGCCAAAATTGGTGCCTCGATTCTTAAAATACTGAGACAAAAGGGCTCCCATGCATGGGCACTAAGTGTGATCCCAATAACAAGTTTATGTCATTATTTTGGCCAAAAGACTGTGAGCTTTCCATTTGCCTGGTCATCCCTAAACATATGGATTTATGGTTACATGAAGGTTATTTTTAAAGTTACATCTCCCATATCTTTGTTGGGAAAATAGCTTAGAAATGTTATATTAGGCATGGGGATGGTAAATGTGTCATTAATTATTTTTCATATTCTGAATATCTTGAGAAAAGTAAAGCAAAATGGAAAAAGAAATTGACATTTATATCAACAACACTCTTAAACACCCCTGAATGCAAATGATCAGGAAATTTGGTTCTATATAATATTCATGTTAATATTAATATTATTAAATAACAATGTTAAATAATCTACTTGATATAAACATCAAATTAGCAATATCAAATAACAAGTCAATAAGTAACTTAATTATTAAATATCAATCATGTTAAAATTGTTATTAATAATTTTAAGTTAATATAACTAATAATATAGTAACAATATTTCTCTAGAGGCTTTTCCTGATTCACTTATTGAAAGAAGGGGACAAATGACTTTATATTTGTTTTGGTTTTGCTGCTAAGAAAGGAGGCCTCTGTTTGTCCTGGGAATGGAGGTCCTTGTCCTTTCCTGAAACCCTTGGGAAAAGGTCAATGCAGTGGGAAGAGCCATATGACAATTTCACTCCATGCACTATGGTCATTTTAGGGTCAGCAGAGCCATAAGCGAAAGGGAGAAGTAAGGAACATCAGTTCCGCTTTATATATGACTTACACAATCCTCACACAGACCTGTGAGATAGATTCTGTGAACAAGGAATCTGAGACTCACAACTGTCACATGCTGGAACAGAGCTGGTGTCAGAACCGAGCAGGAAACACCTGCAAACCGTGTGACCACAGAGCTCTAACTAGCTCCTGGCCCTGCACCAGGCTTTCACAGGCCAGGTAATTATAGGACTCAAATATTTGAATTATTGAAGCAAACGACATTAGAATTTGAATGGCATTGTCATATTGTATTTTGAATGACTGAATTTGAAGAATGGAATTATATAAAATTTGAATAGTCATATACATACAGCACCTGCTAGGAATAGGGGGTGAAGGAGGAAACAAAGATGGCTGAGCCCCTGGCCTTGGGAGCTGACATCCTAGAGGGCAGAGACAGTCACCAAGCCACTGTCCCTGAGTGCTCTGAGGGTCACATGCAGGGTGGGCGTGGAGAGGCGCTCCTGAGAGGCCTCTCTGAGGACAGTCATTGGTGCTGAGGTGAGAAGAGATGAAAGACCCAGCTGGGGACAGCAGCCTAACAGGAGAGGAGCCAAGCTGGGAGACAAGGCCTGTCTGGAAGTCCCTGACTCATGGGGAAGGGTGAGCCTTGAATATCTCATCCTGCTTCCCAAAGAAAGGCTCATCCTTGGTTCTTCCTTCCTCTCAGGTAAAGATTCAGAAATTCTGAGAAGCTCATGGAGGCTGCTGAGAAGCCCAGTAAGGCAGCCTCCACTCTTTGGTGAGGGCAGCAGAAGAGGCTCACGTTAAAAGGGGCATGGAGATGCCTGGGATGGGCACCATAGGGCGAGGACTGCCATTGGACTGGATCATGTGCTTCATGGGACAGGATCAGGACTTATATTTGTTTTAAACACATGCTAGACACATTGCAAAATGACAGCAGACCAACACATGCTGGTCTGGGCCAATAGTTAACTTTCCTGAACTTTATTTCACTTCCCATGTAGTGGCAAATGACAACCCGACTGCACAGTTCCCAGAACTGAGGACAGGCTGGACTGAAGAAGCTGGAATACTTGGAGTTTAAGTTTGTGCACCCAGGATTAATTAAGGGCTGGGGACTGAGGAGGGAGGTGATTACAGCATGGACAAGGATTCACATAGGAGCAGAGGCTCCTGTCTCAGCCAGAACACAAGGGCTATTCTTACTGCTATCAACTTGATCATCATCTTGAACTTGATAAAAGTAATTTAAAAATAAAAAAACTATTATTTCCATTATCTCATTATTGTTGAGTTTTATTAGTTATTTTACAGAATGTTAGATGCCAAAACAATCAGATGCATTCTGCTAAAAGGAAAACTTTAAGGATCTCATGGTAATGAGATTTTTTTATAGATTTTGGAAAGGAAACATGGTTTCTTTAAAACCTTGTTGAAAATATTTAGGTAAAGTACTTGATGCAGTGCCTAGCATGCAGGAAGCCCCTACATTAGCTGTTGCTACTGTTGTTGATATTCCTTACGAATAACTTTTTTTAGACGAGTCTTGCTCTATTACCCAGGCTGGAGTGCAGTGGTGCAATCATAGTTCACTGCAGCCTCCAACTCCTGGGCTCAAGTGATCCTCCCTCTCAGTCTCCCAAGTAGCTGTGACTACAGGCAAGCACCACCACACCCAGCTAATATTTATCTATTTTTCATCACAGAATTTTGTTTTTATCTTTATGGGTACACAGTAGATGTATATATTTGTGGGTTACATGAGATATTTTGATACAGGCATATGATGTACACATCAGGGTAAATGGGCTAGCCATCACCTCAAGCATTTATCCTTTCTTGAGTATGATGTTATGAGTATTTGTTACAAATACTCTGATTATACTTTTCTAATAATTTTTAAATGTACAAATTATTGTTGATTGCAATCACCCTGTTGTGATATTATTTTTTAAATTTTTTTGTAGAGACAAGGTCTCTCTATGTTGCCCAGGGTGGTCTCAAACTCCTGGCCTCAAGCTGGCCTCCTGCCTTGGTCTCCCAAAGTGCTGAGACTGCAGGCATGAGCTACCACACCCAGCCTGAACAATTTTAAATAGCTGCTTCATTTTTTTTTTTTAAAGCTAAGCTAAAACAAGAGAAATCTCCTCCTCCATAAAATAAATTCCACATCCGTTAAAGAGCAGCCAAGAGTAATACTCACCTTTCGTAGGACTGAATTGCCTGTTCCACTTTTTGCTTGTAGATATTGAGCTTGACTCCTTGGGGGTTAATTAATGTCATCTTATTTGTGTCATTGCACACATGTGCCACAGGGAAAACCTACATGTCAATGCCAAAGGAAAGGAAAGTGTCACTTGTTAGGTTGATGTATGCCTTTGAAAATATACATAGCTGTATAATTGACTATAAAGTCAATATATAAAAAAAATTACTGTGTTAGAAAACTCAGTACATCACAGAGAAAAAAGAATCAGAGATATCATTGCTAACCTTTACCTTTCAATGTATAAAACTATATATTTTAGAAATCACCACTACCACCACCACACACACACACACAACAAAAAACAACAACCAAAAGTGTTTCAGAAAACTTTAATCAGAATTGAGAGTTATCTTCAGAAGTCTCTGTCAAATTGGTAAGAGTGGGCAATAAGAAATATGATCTCATTGTTTCTTCATAAATTGATATTTGGGTTAAACACCTTTTCCATGCATTTGTTTTACATTTGATTTTCTTTTGAGAATATTTTATTATAGTCACTATATTTTGAGTATTTTTCTTATTTTTTGTTTATTTTGTTTCATTTTGTTTGAGACTGAATTTCACTCTTGTCACCTAGGCTAGAGTGCAATGGCGCAATCTCAGATAAAAGATTCTTACACATGTCAAACAAAGAATGCTTAGTGATCAATAAATCACATTCTGTAAGAACAGCAGAGTACCAGAAAATGAGGCTTCTTTTGGAGTTGTTTCTGTGCCTGGTACTTACTTCTGGGTTTTGGGATACCTCTGATTTCATGCCAGGCAGCTCCAGGGGGAAAAGATAGTAAATGTCTTGGTTTGGTAGAACTTTGAATTCTGGTCTCCTTCCCCAATTGTGGGGTACTCTTTCAATTTCAAAGTTCACTGTTAGCTTCTCCACGTATTCTATCCAAGATTGACAGTTGTATTCAAAGGGAGAAACTGGGTGACAGATGCTTACCTCATCTTCTCTAAAATAGAAACCCTCCTTCATTCTTTCCTTCCCAATTCTTCTTTCATCTTAATGGTAACTGTAACTTTATGTTTACCTGTTTGCATATTACCTACCTCTCTCTAGCAGAATGTAAATTCCATAGGACAAGAAATTTTGTGGTATTCACTACTGTATTCCTATCACTAAGAATAGTACCTGGCACACAGTGTGCCCTCAACAAATGTTTGTTGATAAAGGAATTAATGCATGTTCCCAAAAAGGTATATTCCATATATTAATATTTAAACAAAAAAAGCAAAGAAGTCTAACAGGAAAATAACAAGCTATACTATCATTGTTTCAAAAGTGATTTCACCCATAAGGAGCATGTAGGCATTTTAGAAATGTGGGAGAATAATTTTTAAGAAATAAATTTTTAATTTTAATTAAGATGATATAGTTCATGCTTTTATGTTTCCCCTTGTCTCCAAAATGATACAACAATGTTATTGTTGTTGCTATGTTTAAGAAAATAATACAAGGAAGGGAGGAAGAAGGAAGGAAGGAAGGAAGGAAGGAAGGAAGGAAGGAAGGAAGGAAGGAAGGAAGGAAGGAAAGAAGGAAGGAAGGAAGGAAGGAAGGAAGGAAGGAAGGAAGGAAGGGAGGAAGGGAGGAAGAAGGAAGGAAGGAAGGGAGGAAGAAGGAAGGAAGGAAGGGAGGAAGAAGGAAGGAAGGAAGGAAGGAAGGAAGGAAGGAAGGAAGGAAGGAAGGGAGGAAGGAAGGAAGGAAGGAAGGGAGGAAGAAGGAAGGAAGGAAAGAAGGAAGGAAGGAAGGAAGGAAGGAAGGAAGGAAGGAAGGAAGGAAAGAAGGAAGGAAGGAAGGAGGGAGGGAGGGAGAAATAAAAGGACAAATGTATGATAAATATATTTCTAAAGACAAAGAGCTGAGTAGAAATGTATACATATGGGTGGAGCTGAAGCTGTGGGCTTGTTAAGCTGTGTGTCCAAAGATGGCAGGGCAATGGGAGCTCAACCCCTGGAAAGCTAGTGGGACTATGAGGGTTCTGAAAAATGAAGGCCTGTGTCAGGCTCAGTGCCTGATGTCAGCATTGGTATGAGTGTCTCTCACCCCTGAAAGACGGTCCTGCCTAGGGAGAGAGAACACTGATGTAGCCTCACAATCAAGACTTAAATCAAGGCGCACTCTTTGAATCTGTGCTATCCACAACATCACCATGGAACAAGAGCTGTAAATGCCCATGAGCTCTGAGGGATGGATCAAGGGGATAGATTTAGGCAACGGCAAAATAGAAGGAGAAAGAGAAAAGGCAGATTTTTAAAGAATCTTGCTAAAATAAGCCAACATACTAGAATTCCCAAGTACACACCAAAAAATGCAAAATCATAGCTGAGCAAATCAACAATTAGAATGTCAATTCATTTGACAGTAAATTTACTTTATGAGCCATCTAACAACGGCTTTAAATTATGTTTAAAATTGTTTATTATTAGGTTGTTCAAAGATGTTACAGCCATATAAAAGTATAAAAACTTACTTTAGTAATGGATAGGAAAAAAAACAAGGAAAAAATCTATCTTGGAAAAAAGACATTATAATTGAAACAAAAAATAATCCTAATAGAATAAATTCTAGGCTAGACAAAATTAAAAAAAGAACTGGTGAACTGGGTGATAGATAGTACTGTAGACTTTCCCCAGAATATTTCACAGAGAGACAAAAATAGTATAGATAAATAATGATTGAGAAACTTCAATATATATTAAATGACATTTTAAAAGAATAGAATAGAAAGATGATTAGACAAGCAATGCATTTGAAATAATACTGAGTTTTCTAGAGTTTAATAGAAGAAGTAAGTCCTTAGATCAAAAATCAGCCCCCGACAAAAGACTAAAAATAAATCCACACGTAGACACATCATCATAAGACTCCAGCATACTGAATCTAAAAGAAAATCTTAACAGCAACTCAAGCAAAACAGACTGTATGAAAGAGTAGCATATATCAGATATGTGAAGAGGACATTTTTATTTGCTAAGGAGAATTTACTGTCAACAGAGACCTTTCTATCCAGCTGAACTATCATTCAACAGCAAAGAGATGTTTTTAGATATTAAAATACACGCAGCTGAAACTGTTAAAAAATTTAATTAACTATTGAAAGTTAAAAAAGATTAATGTATATGTTTGAAAGGCAAAAGTGAAACTCTAAATCACAGTGACAAGATTTTTTTGGGGGGGGAAGGGTTTTTAATGACTAATTAAAAGGTACTAAAATCCCCAATTGTGTTTGGAAGGAAAATAAAAATACAAAATACTGGCTGGGCTCATGGTAGTGGCTCCTGCCTGCAACCCCAGCACTTTGGGAGATTGAGGTGAGCAGATCATGAGGTCAGGAGATTGAGACCATCCTGGCCTGTTGGTGAAACTCCATCTCTATTAAAATACAAGAAATTAGCCAGGCATGGTGGCATGCACCTGTAATCCCAGCTACTCGGGAGGCTGAGGCAGGGGAATCACTGGAAGCCGGGAGGCAGGTTGCAGTGAGCCGAGATTGTGCCACTTCACTCTAGCCTGGCAATGGAGCAAGACTTCATCAGGGAAAAAAAAAAAAAAAAACTACAAAATACCTTGGGACTTAGTTTAAAAAATTGTCATGTACATTAAAACTTTTAAATAATCACTAAAGGAACAGAAATACAACCTACTGCTTCCACACAAGCAGCCGGCAGGTGAGGGTGGGGGAAGAGGGAATATAGACAACTTTATCCAACAAAAGGCAGGAAAGTAGAAAATAAAATGATATTTAACAGAAAGCAAAAAAAAACAGATTAAAAAAGTTCAAGTATATTAGTATTTACAAAAAATGATATTGCACTTAATGGAAAAATAGAGCAGAAAAAAATTAATCAAGATAAGTAAAATCTCGAAAACATAATGTTAAAACAAATGTTAAGTTTCATAGTAGTGCTCACAACATAATACCATTTCTATAAAGTTTTAAACCTGTAGGACAATGTTTCAGTGATTTTGTCTTAAGAATATTAAAATATATATGAAAATTCATGCTAGGGTTTATCTGGAGAAGGAGGAATGGGAAGTGGAACAAAAAGGGTTTGCACAGGAGGATGCAGTTTTATCTGAAACGCTTTATTTTTAAAATAATGGAAACATTTAAAGCGTAGGTTTAAAACTATCAATAGTGGTTACTTCTAAAAACTGGGATTTCAAGACAAGTGAAGAAGGTAGATAACACTTCTACTTTTTACTGTATTGTTTCATTTTTTTAAGTACATATATTTCGTTTTATAATTAAACCATCAAGACTAAAATAAACAATAGGCAAAGTTTTAGAAAACTGAAGAGAAAGAAAATAAGTTAAGAAACTGCACAGTCCAATCTTGCTACTTAACAACCACGTGAATTCACCATGTGGCTTCTAAACAATTCTTGTCAGAGAGAAGAAACCAGACAGTGGGCTGAAAGGTGGGAGGACTGAACTTTGAAAATGGAATGAAGCTTATAGAAATTAAAAAAAAATCATCCCTGGAAATAGAGCTGTATGTCAGATAAACCCTTAGAAGAAAAAAGATCAGTCTCAACAAAGTACAAGTCCCTTAGGCTTTTCTCTCCCTGGAAAAAAAAAATATCCCTTTGGAAGTCTGCTGTAAATAGCTCCCAAAATTTGCTAAGTTTGGCACAATTGTAAATCAATACCACAGAAAATTTAGCAACATTACAACATTTCACCACGATCAGCTTGACTCCCGACTCAATGTACTTAAGAAAAACCCACTGTTTCGTGTTCCACTTCCCTCTTTTGTGGATTTCAACCTCGTGCCTTTCGTGGCCATTGTGGGCTTCAGTGCGGTAGTAGCTCAGATTTGGCTTGTGTGCACCCACTCTTCTTCCTTTCCACATGCAGATCCAGGGAAAGACAAAGTCATACTCCACACTTCGAGTCTGACATCTTAGTTTTTACAACATGGTGGCCATGTGGAGATCACAAGGAAATGTTCTCTTCATGATGTCAAATTTAGTGTGACTATGAGGTCATAAAGGGCATTCTCATAAGGACTTGGGGGACAGAATCATGGCACCTCAGCTTCTCTAAGAAAG